ACAGCTCCTTTCTTCACCACCGGCGGCTCTCCCTTGAACAACACCACGTGGCCGGGCGACATGCGCTGCATACAGCGCTGGTGCAGCTCGTCCCAGCGCAGCGATTCCACCAGACCCTCCGACTTGTTGGTCAGACAAGAGGCCAGCGTCGGGTCCAGCTGTACCAAGCTGTCGGTGGGGAGATAAACAGTCAGCAGAAATACAGGAACATTGAGTCAGACGGAACACATCTTCTCATCAGCGAAATCTCCCCCTTCGGCTGTATACTACTCGCTATAGATCTCGACTTTTACTAGATGGACGGTCGGCTTTGAGACGAAGACTCAGGAATTCACGCAAATAATTCACAACAAAAACAAACGCCTTGAGAAATGGCTTAGCATTTCAATAGATACACACGTAAGGTTATCAACATTGAGTGATCAGAATGACACTTCTTTGACATGAATTAGTGAAACTTTTAAGTCAGCGACTGGCCGAGTACTCACGTTTTATTGTTCTGATTCTGCAGCTCCTTGTTCTTGACGTACTGCGTCAGATGTTTCCGGACCTCCTGCGCAGACAGCGGAGTGCCCTTGGCGATCTTCAGTTCCTTAAACACGGCCGCCACGTTGCCGCTGACAATGTACAGCTCCTCCACCCGCTCAATAGCCTTGGACCTGCTGGGGCCGGCCGAATCCGGCTCCGGCTCCGGCGACTCGTCCCGGCAAATCTCCTGTACCTTGTAGGAGCGGATCTCCGGGTGATCCAACCGTACCGAGACGATACTCTGCACTCCTTTAGAAAGTTCCTTCACCTGCACCAGACCGTCCTTTTGCATCTTCTCTAGGAACTTGGAGATCTTCTTGTAGGACGACTTTTTGACGTCGAGTGGCCGTTGACTGTTGGGCTGCATGTGTTGCGCGTAGAAGTTTGATACGAGCACGGGAAGTTCGATCCGTTTGGCAGTGGTGCGCCACGCCTGTCGGAAGGCGTCGTACAAGAGGTCGTCCATACTGGCAGGCGTCGGCGGCTCCGGGGCGGGCTCGGGCTCGGCGGGGACCGGCGGGTTCTCGTCATCGTCCTCCACACGGAGGTTCTGGAAGCTGAGCGTCGTCCCCTCCGCGTCATCCCCCTCCACAGGTCCGTCCCCAGCCTCCCCCGCGTCCGCCAGCCCGTCCCCAGCCGCTGTGGTGTCTCCAGTCCCATCCTCACCGTCCACCGTGCCCCCGTCCACCTTCTCACCCTCTGCGTCATCTCCCCACTCCTCCTCGGGCTCCCCGCCGGGCGCGCCCAACTCGGGCGGCTGTCTGCGAGTGCCCATCTCCCAGAGTAGGTCCCCCACCACATGCACCATCAGCACCGCCTTTCCCCTGCCGCCGGACATGTACAGGTCCTGGCTGTCGCGCGCCGCCCAGCCCACTGCCACCGGCGCGCGGTTTATCTCAGTGTTCACGGCCACCGGCTGTCCCTTATCGAGTTTCCCGAACGCCCGCGCTCCGCAGTCCTTCTCTCGGACGATGACGCCCGGTAGCATGAGGTCGGCGCCGCCGCGCAGCTTCTGCACGACCGGAGCGTACGTGGTGAAGGCATAGAGCAGGTCCGGGTGGCGCCACAGTGTGTAGACAGTGGGCATCAGGCGGCCGCCGATGTCCAGCAGCACCGGGTCCCGGCCGGTGAGGTAGCAGACTACCGAGTCGCCCCCGTGGGTCACCAGACGTGACACGGAGACCTCCTCCTTGGTGGGGATCAGCTCTGCACAGGCCTCTGTGGTGAGAACAGGGAAGGCAGCTGCTATCTGACTCCTCAGCTTCTTCCTGATGGAAAGAAAATTTCATGTTAAAAATTAACTGTTTAGTTATTCTGCTAGCATCATTTAGTAGGGAACAATGAATGAATTGTCATTTACTCATTCCTCCTAACAGCAACCAGTTCTACCTTGCCACATGACATTGTCAGATGATACCTATGAACAGTACCACACTGCTATATTATTAAAGGCAATGGTGAAAATGATGAATGATGAATAATCAGGTCTCCCACTCACTGACCACAGCACTAGTGGCTACCACCTAAATAGTCAAAGCTGCTGATCTGTGATCACCTCTCAGAATGAAATCAAAAATAACAATTTATCAATAAGAAACTATAGCTATACCTAACAAAAGATGAACATATTTCTATAATTTACCAAAAAAATGTTCATTCAAGCCTATTGTCCCCCTAAAATGGAATGCTTACTTGATACTTCTGCCTTTCAGTCAACAGCTAAATAATCTAAGAAGCCATATTTGTGGAGTCGTGGACACTCAAAGTTGTTTCGAAAGATCCAGTCAAATTTAACCAGTGGATGAATAATTTATTTAAGAATCACTGAGAATGGTGGGTAGTTATGTTTTATATGTCTTGTCCCAAAATACTAACCTGTCAGATCCCTTGATCTGTGAGTTGGATTTTACTCTGAATGGCTTGAGGAACATCTTGCTGAAAAAGTGAGATACACAGTTAATCCAAACTTGAACTACAGAATGGTTACATCTGCATAATCATTACAGGCCAGACACAATTTTTCATGTTGATTGAACACAAACATAATGGATATAAGCATCACATATCATTCTCCACTGACATAGTTACACTGGTATCATTATTGTTTGACTCTAAAGCAATAGGTATTTTCAATTTGGTTAAATTTTGGGTAAAACAAAAATAAAACTTCATAAGCAATCAAGGGTTGGAATTTCACTTTTTTGTTCTGGTAGTGGAGTACAAAATTTTTGGTCCAGTGGAGTACAACTGTACAGCGTTGGGGTGGTCAATTGCGTCTGCATAGTGTTTTTGGTATTAGTAAGTCTGGCGTCCCACGAAGATACACCTCTCAGGCCCATGTCACTAATACTAATACTAATACCAGGCCCATGTCACTCCACTTTTGATGACATCATAAGGGGGCCTCAGGACAATTAATGGCGTGGTGCGCCACAATCGCTCCCAAGCTACTTACCAACAGCTGCCATTTTTGAAAATATTATTTTGAAATAAAGTTTCAAGTAATGAAAATATTGTAATAAAGTTGTAACTTAAATCTATACCGTATCTAAAAACTTACTGAAAAATGATTTATCCATAGTAAAAAATATAAGCTCGATGCGTTTTTACGTTGCTTTCCTGCTGCTGCAGAGGGTTTTTAAATCGTCTATATCTTCAAAACCGGCCATTTCTTAGCATATTGCTGCTCTTTTTTGTCGCTGGAAAATTAGTTGAGCTTTCCATTGACATCAACGGCTGAGCGGTATGTGCAGAGTGCCATCAATAATCTTCAAATGAAGTTAGTCATTTTTACGTTGCAAAGGAATGGAGTACCCCTTGCGAGCATCAGGGGTGACGTCACTCAGGATCTGTCTCTGATTGGTCGACGGGGGAGTGACTGTACCTTCTATAGATGGCCTTGACTAATACCGTGTTTTTTTGTGCAGTGTGTTTCTATGTACCTATGCATGTAGAATTGGAAGCATGTGCATAAACAATACAGTGTGGAAAACAATGTTTATCGAGTGACGCAGCAAGACGATTGACTAGAACTTTTTGTTGAGAGTGGCAAGTATTATGTGATCGTAATTGAGTGGTTAGTGGTCACTGGTCATAGTAAGGATTAGGTTAGCAGCTAGAAGTAGGGACGAGAGTCAGGAACCAAAAATTGGTGCTCTCGTATGCACCAGGAAGTTCCTGGTCCACCAAAATTCCTGGCGCATCCTGATACCAGAAAACGGCAACTTTTCCAACCTTGCAATGACTGAGTCACACCTTGCTGTTGCCTGTTGCAATTACAATTTCATGCATCAAGCAATACTTGAAAATCAAAGGAAACAAAACGGTTTTCAGGTTGGAAAAGCATCCAATATTATATAAGTAATAAAAATCGAATTTATATTAGGATATCAATATCAATATTGCTAAAACGGGCCCCACGGTTCACTGCTCAACAGGCTCAACTTGACATTCTGGAATCTGGACTTGGACTCTTTCATGAGTTTCAATAGTCACAGAATTACAGCTCAGCTCATTAACAAGATGCCACGAATATGAAGACTATGGAAAATTAATAAATTAAATTAATCATCACCTTATATGAAGGAAATAATCACAAACGAGCACACAAATTTTACACTGTCAGTTAGAAATGGCGCAATCGTAACTCCTGCGTGGGAAATGGAACAAGCATTTTATATGCCTTATTTTGCTGCTAAAATGATTCATAACATCACTGTCTAACAAAAAAGCCATCAATCCTCACTCAAACGGGTCATTGATGATAATGATAACTATGAGTGGGCCTAAGCACTTTCGGCTACAACTCAATTTCACATACCTATTCAAGCAAAGTTGCTGCTAATCCCACGGAAATGCAGCTCTCTTTTTCCAGTGACTGGTGTCAAGCGGCACAGCATACATTTAGGCGTTTGCTACTACTGCCATCTAGCGACAGACGCGAGATTCTTGCACTGAATCAATCGTTCGGCCCTTCCGGGGTGGATTTTTCACAACTATTCCTTACCGGACAAACCCAGCTGCACCCAGAGTATCCTGCACCTTCCCTTACACTAGCGTTTCCTGGCTGACCGTCACTCGCACCAGACAACCGGTGCCCGGTGGGTGTAGTCTGCTTGGACTTCACCCTCTGTGGGTGAGCGTTTCGAGTGGCAGGACGGGCTGTTCCATTGGGACATTCCGTCCCACTGGGCAAGCCACCGGGACGCTTTCTACCAGTGCCGCGCTGACGATGATCCGCTCAAGTCCCATATCTTCGCAGTATCCCACCATCACATATGTATATTCCGTGACAAAGCTCTGCAGAAGCCCTTTTGGGCCGAAAGAGCATGGTCCCGGAGAGCCTACGGTATGCATAACAAAAGAGAAAAATCGATTAACGTCTATCGGATGGTCATTGCGATAGAACTGCAACGTCACTTGTTATTCTGTACTCTTTGGGCAGTGATTAATTCCCAGGGGAAAACTCAATCCAAGGAGACATCCTTGTATTTCAAGGAGAGCTGGTAAGTCACCCAACAAATGTGACCGATATGACATAATTAGCGTATCGGGATTCAAAAGGCATAAGCCGAACACCGACTTGTAGCAAACGGCACACGGGAATAGTGAACACATTACACAATCGCATCCGTGTCGTCACAACTGCATCATCCCACGTAGCTAACCAGCATAAGCGATCAACACTGGAAGTCACTGAGACCCAGCTCGGACTTTATCGTGACGTCATTGAGGCTCATCATTAGCCGGCGTTTCATGCACAGCCTTCACCGCAAAATACCCTCCGCCGGCTGCGAACCATCTCGTCACACAGCTTCACGTCACTCATCAAACGCTCACAACAAAACTCACAGATTCCAAGGCAGCTTACCACCACGACGCAAGATATCAGCGGCGCGAAACAAATCCACCATGGTCATTGGTCAGTCGTCGCCGGCGTCCCTGCCGGTACCCCGCCCCTGACAATGCCCCGATGTCGGTACGGCCCCGGCGCCGGTCACCGGGTGGCCCCGGGAGGTCTCCGACGCTGCCGCTCCGCCACCGCCGCCTCCCACTCCCGACGGTGCGTCTGGTAAATCTGCATGGTGGCGCGCGCGTCCTGCACAGAGTCGTGCTCCCCCTTCTGAATGTCGACCGCCAGCACCTTCATCGAGAGGTTCTTCAGGCTGGGTATGCCGCCGTTGAACATCTTCCGGAACGGTTTGTAACTGGCCGTGTCCCGGGTGTGCTTCTTGGGGTGGCTGAGCATCAGTACTTTGAGGTCGTTGTAGACGGCGTGACCGACCAGCACGCGGCCTTTGAGCAGCGCCGCTACCTCCCGCTGCACCACCTCAAACTCCTCACCTGAAAAAAAAAAAACAGGACAAGTCACAGCACACAGTCAGTTCCAATCAAATACACCTTCCCGGTTGAATATGACCGATGACGTTCCTTACAAGATGCAACGCAACTCAGGTATTGTTTACAGTACTCGTAACCGAAGGTTTGTCAATAGTTATTCGTTAGAATAGTGTTTTTCTATTGAAAACCAAATCTGAGTTCCCTGACAATTTGGCAAAAGCTGCCTGAGATCAGGTACATATGAAGAAGCACATGCAATTTGTTTGCTTTCCAAACCAAAATGCAGAATTGGGAGCTTTAAATGTGCTTTGCACCTAAAACACTTTGTCGCTGGAAAAGCTAAATACCGGACGCTATAGAGACAGATAGAATAAGCGTAAAAGCAAAATTAATTGACGAAGCCGAGCTATAATGCGCCAGCTAGCATTTAAGCAGCGGTCGCCACCTGGCGCCCGTTCCTCAGCCGATGAACCTCAGCGACTCGGACTCACCCTTGACGAGGTCCTTGGGGCGGACGCCGGAGACGAACGTGCGGTAATCGGTCACCTTCTCCATGGGCTTGACGAACTTATCGTAGACGGGCTGGCAGAGCGAGTTGACGATGGAGACCCTGGCTAACATGTTCTCCTGGCCACTCTGACCGACGCCGACCATCTCGCAGTCCATCGCCAGGTACCGCGACGGACTGATGGAACAATTAGCGGGAGGCACCAGCGGAGGTGAGAGGAGTTCTAGTGAAGCCAAGATGCCAGTCTACACATATCATAATCTATCTCTGATGTTGATAGGAGGATTACCAATCAAATAGAAATTTGACGTCACAATGCAACAATGGGCCCTGTTATGAGCGAATAGCACGCCCTCTAAGCTAAAAAAGTGACAACTTTTGTGATCAATAAAGAACTATGCTAGAAACGAAAACCAGCAATCCCATCCCTCTCCCATTAACACTTACAGCGGCGTTTTGGCGCTGGCCAGTTGGCTGGCCTCGTCTCGCTCCCCCTGTTCGCGCTGCTGCTCCTTGTCGCGCTGTTTCTGCTCCCTCTGCCGCTGTTTCTGGCAGAAGTCGCACGGCGGCCGGTCGTCACGCAGCAGCGACGGGTCCACGCCGTCAAACCACACTGGTGGCGGGCACGAGCAGCCGCGCTTGGCCAGACCGCGCGGCCGCCGCCGGACGGCCGGCGGCTCCGGCGCAGGACCGGCCGCCTTCGCCGCCTGCCGGTCAACCGAGGACATAATGTCAGAGGACGCCGCCAGACGCACCAACGAGGACTGGACGAGCCTGGCCTGTGCGACAGTGGGTTCGTGGCTAAATCTCCTCCACGACCATGACTATCGGGTGAAGTCGGTACTCGGTACACCACATCACATTGGAGCTGTCACAATCAAAGTACCAACGATTCCTGGAAAGGTGGCTCTTGTCACGGCGATCGGCGCGGTGATGGCTGCACAATCCTTGTCAGCTTTTCTCAGAAGAAGCATGTCATTGCAGGAGTTCTCCTGAATTACCATTCAAAGGAAACATACCTAACATCAGCACTCAATATTATCAACGGTACATGTAACTTTCTGGGAAGATGAAAGAGCAACAAAAAGTAGGTACCTACTTAAGATAAAAGCAGATTTACCAGGACAACTTTAGTATAGTTGGCTAGCAAGTAGTATCCTTATGGGCAACTCACCAACACAACAATAGTGGGCAACTCTTGCAAAAAGGACAAGATCAGACCAAAGAGCCCATAAAGAATGAGATAAGGTATCTGAAAGAAAGCCACTATTCAGAACCATATCTCAGCATAAAATAAAGCAATGACTTAAATTGTTCAAATCACAGTTTTAAGCTGCCAAAGTCACTGTAACCAATTATGCTATCAAACAAGTCACAAGTAAATTACACACCTACAGGGTGTTGCAGATAAATCCGACACTTGAGAGGCAAAATACGAAATCGGCAATGAAAGCATGAATATTGCACACACAGGCCTGGGATTTTATTCAGCACCAGTTCGAGTCATATGCTGCACTTCTACTCGATGTAACCGCCGTCGGCGGCGACGACGATCTCAAGCCGAGGGCGAAATGATTCGCACGCCTTGGCGACCGTGTCCTTGTCTACGGCGGCGATTTCTGCCACGATGGCGGCCTTGAGAGAGTCGACGGTATTGTGTGCGTGCTTGTTGGTCTTGGCCTCGATCACGCCCCAGAAGAAATAATCGAGGGGGTTGCAGTCAGGAGAGGAGGGCGGCCACAAGTCCGGCGACCAGTGGTGACGGACGTTGTTGAGCAGCCACGCCTGCGTGGTCCTGGCCTTGTGCGCCGGGGCGGAGTCTTGCTGGAAGACGTGGAGGCGTCCGTTGGCGATCCTGTGTTTGTGTTTTGGGGGAGGCAATTGATCATAGAGATGTAACATACTGCCCAACTTTTCATCGTGAGCATAGCACTCGAATAAACACGTTTTTTCCAAGTGTCGGATTTATCTGCAACGCCCTGTACTTGCTCAAATATGCCGGCCAACTAAATAGACCTAGAATAGAACAGGATAAACACAAGAGAAATAGGCTAAAATGTTCATTTGTAATGTGCAGACACAGTCATGTACAAACTCATTTGTACACTGCAGGCCTTTCATAAAGACACCTACCCTTCAATTAGAAGCAAAAATAAAACTAAAAACTAGGATTACAATAGCTTTAAAATCACTTCCCAAAACCATGAGTATCATGAGCATTTAGCATGTTGATTATAAATCCAGCTCAGACCTCTAGGCACTAAGTGATCCATGCCTCCTTGAATGCCTAATATCTGCAATATTTAATGGCTATTGAAATTATCATTAAAATGTTGCATTATGCTATTTATTCCATTCTTAACCTGTAAGAATGATTTCCAGTTGGATGAGATGTCCTCATTGGTGACAGGCTTTGGTACTGCTTTCTCTTGTACGTTGGCCAACAGCTTTCTTCGTGCAGAAGACTGCTTAGCCTGTCCTGTGGGATTCTTGCTGATAGGCTTGGGCTTTTTAGGAGGGGTTAAAGCCTTGGAAATATCAGGCTCTTCCCCTTCAACTCGTTTCTTAGCCTTCGACATTTCAGGTCTGAAAAATAGATTGTGCTATATAAAAATATGCAATATGCAAAACAAGGCAATGTTCGACAATGAGTGGGTAAACAACTAAACAGTAAACAGTTAAACTGTATTTTACATTGTGCCCTACAATTCATAGACCATGAAGCAATTCATCAAAAGCATTTTATAATGGTTCAATAGAAGCCATTTAATCAATCATATCCAAAATTCCATCAAGTCAAAGTAGCATAACCACTAAATCTTAACATTGAAACATAACACATTGTTTTAATCATTTCTGCTTCAAATACCTCAAGTTACCACTGATCATTGAGTATCAGCTAGACATAATCATGATATCATTCACATTGACAGACATGTGTGTGGATCTGAAAAAAATGGATCTGGGATGATTCCACGGACCCTGAGGGGTGTTCCCGGGCACCGCACACTGCTGCATGCAGTGTGTGCGGTGCATCCAGCAGGCATGGGGGTAGGGGATGGGTAGGGCTCTCTCTATCGTCTGGAGGTTTCGAAAGATGCTCTCCAGAGATGGCGCTAGTAAATTTGGCTGACATGACGTCATGCCAAAAAGTGATGGGTTTTGTGAAAGCAAATGTAATAAAAGTTGAAAATTTTGTACTTTTGCTTGATTAAGAAAAAAAAATATACAATTGTTCAAAATAGCGTTTTCCTCATTCATCCTTCATTGTTTGAAGAGGAATATAGACAGTTTAAATATTTTTTTCTTGACCGCAATTCGCACACGCACTAAATTAAAAGCTGGAGTTTTGTGCGTTCGTAAATTGTGATTTGAGAAAATAAAATGACAATAATCTTTTGCACTTTTGCTTTACAATCATTTTTCAATGCAGATAAATGCATAAATTATTCGAAAATAGGCATATCTTTGAAATATTATGATTTTCCACAAGCAAATTTTCCCAAAAACTTGAACTACTTACAACTGACGAACGCATCCAATAATCTGGATGTCTTAGGATGAGTTCGTCATTTTTTCCCAAGGAAATACGATACAGTTCAAGCTATTTTACCGATTTATTAGGGTGCTTTTGCCAATGAATTAATAAATAAATGACAACAATTAATCTCATTATCAACCATACTCGGAAGAATTTTCTTCGCATAAGCGCGAACACATCCGCGCTTTCATGAAAAGTCACGCCTGTAGATGTCAGGACTGCTGCTTTATGTTTCGCAAGGTGGCGCAGCGCGCAGGGTACCGACTACCGAGGCTGAGGTCTCCAGACTCTCCACCACGATTTAACTTGGAAATGGCCGATGGGGAAGGTCTCACCCAAAAACGGACGCCCTTTTACACAGCTGCATAAAGAGAATAAATTATTGGCATAGCTGACCACACGTCCCCTCCCCCTCTCCGCCCCAGCTCAATAGGAAATATCGCCTATTTTCCTTAGTCAGTTATATTCTGACTAATTTCTCACTCTTCCCAGTAAACCTTAACATGCATGATGCAGATGTCCACTGCGTAAGTCGTGTGCTTCCGTAAGTGTGCCAACTATATAGTGTTGCCTACACTCTACAGTGCCTACTGCTTCCCCATTGTCGTTATGATTGGTGATTCTCAGGTCAAAAGTTACACAGTGGTCTCAGAGAACAATCGTTTCAACAAATTAACGATTCAAACCGTTGCATTCTACTTATATTCCGGTCAGTTCTGCTACTAAACGATTCCGGCAAAACACTCTTTAGGTTATGTATTAGCGAACCACCACACAAAATTCGCCCAATCAATGGTCAGTTATTACTGCTGGGCTGAACCGTTATACGCTATATAGCCTATTGCAGTCAATATTTTCATAACGATACTGACTGACGAAACACAACGTATTCGCGGATTCGCACATACGTTGGCACCCAGGTGGCCTGTCAGCAGCCGCACAAAGCCGCACAGCGCAGCCGGGATTTGACATTGAGATGGTACACCGTAAAGCATGCCTTTCCACACAGGCACAAGCACAGGGACACAAATGCTCAAAATCCAAACTTATTCCAATACTGGTCAATTACGAATAGGCATAAAGTTTTGAGGTTTTCTCATGTTCATTCTTCTTTCAACACACGCGGCAGACTGCAGCAGCTGCAGAACATCTCACAGAGCTGCGCTGGATGCAGTCATGAGCTGGGACACGGTTTGTGACCAATGACCGATCGGGGGTGCCAGCCTCCTCCCGGCACGCGATGCACTGGCCGCCGCGCAGTCGATGTCGGGGCACCGCCGGCATTCGCCGACAGGGTTCCATCCGATTCGGTGTATTGGTGGCAGCCCGAACAGTGACCCACGCGAAGCTGGCGGACGTCGATGGCCGATGAGCGATGCCCTTCCGCGACCGGCGGTGGCAGTCGGTCCCACATCAAGAACAGATACCAGTCATGCGGTCAGTCGGCGACGGCGCTGTCGCGAGTCGATCTGATGGTCGCGCGGTGGGCGTTGCCGACGTCCACCGGGACCGTCGACTGGGGGAGCGCGGCCGCCTCTTGGCCGCCGCCTCTGGTCGGCGAGCTCGTTGCGCTGTGGGACGGCATCCACTGCAAGTCGTTCACTGTGAAGCGGTCGTTTGACCGGACCTGGCAGGCGGGGAAAGGGGGCCTCAGATGAAGTAAAACCATCCCTCAGGCCAGCTTGAACTGGCTCTCCACCTCACCATGTTAGATGAGCGGACACCCTCGTGATCATCGCAGCGATGATTGCCAATTGGTGTGTCATTATGGGAGAGGATGCCAGCCTCCTTTGCAAGATAGTCTGCCATTAATATAGTGCAGCCCGACCCATTGCCTGTGGCGCAGACTGGGCTTGATAATGCAGTGCAGGACACACCAAACGTAAGCGGCCATCTGTACCCCCTGTGCAGTAGGGCTGACTCAAGAGCCCAGAGTTGCCCTCCCCCCACCATTCTGTGCACATGATAACTGGATGGGACATGCCATGGTCAGCATCTGTTCAAAAGCTGCCCTAAGCATGTAAAGCTCCACTGGCATGCTCAAGCATGGTCACAGTCAGTTCTCACTTCTCAGTTGAACCTCCAATGGAAACCCATCACAAAGTAGAGATCAGGGCGCCTCTCACACTGCAGCACACTCAATGACTGAGGCACCATCTCATCACTTGCAGGTGGTTCTTGCCAGGAGCAATGCCAGCCACGCACATCAGGTGATAACAGCAGTGTACAACTGCAATCTACAAGCATCCATGTTCTTTCTGGTTTTCTCCTGTTGAGATCCACTGCCATGCATGAACTTGATGGGCTTTTGTTGCGCTCCTCCCATGTGCAGACAGGTTTCTGCTGAAACAAAGCAAAGCAAATGTGATTAATAATGGCCCTGTTTCACCATCCAGACACTGTGTGCACTGGTAGCTACGGCATACCATAGCATCACTCAAATGACGTTGCATGTGATCTCTTAGTTTATGATCAATCGCGTTTGGAACAGAGTGAGAGGTTCTGAAAAACCGTACCAAGAACAGAGGTTTGAGTTCAAATACTGCTAGCATGCTGCTGGTGCTGGTACCGCAGCGTGCTAGCGTTCTGGGATGCTGTCATAGCTTAGCGTCACAGTGAAGTTTGTTGACACTGCCATGGAAACCCAATGCTCTGACACACGCAGCACACTGCAGTGCTGAGCACTGGGATGCTCCAGTGCTCAGGGGGCCTCAGCATGCTGCAGTGCTGAGCACTGCAGTGCGTGCTCTGCCGTGAAACACCACCCATGAACGTTGGTTGCATGACCAGGATGGAGCAGTGTGGCAGACAGTGATTTTAATTTTAATTGCACTTCCTAGAGATTAAAATGTTGTTGGTGAAATTGCTATTCATTATTCCTATTACCATTGTCTAAATTTCACATTTCAAGACAGCATCAGCATTGACATGTTATATAAAATAAGGTTTAGACTTCAGGTGGTCCCGGGTTCAGGGCAACAAAAAGGGCAAAAAATTGTCAAAAAAATTTTTTAAAAAAATACCTGCCTTCATCAACACCTCATCTAATCTAACCTCATCCTCATCTAACAAGGCCCTAAAAGCAAAAACCGTTTGAATAACAATGTAATATTTTGCAACCGCTGCACCATTACTGTCACGTACGCTATCCCTAGATTGGTTGCTGGTAAGTAGTGGTTGTCGTCATCAACTCGTCATGCAGCAGCTGATTGGGATGGGCGGGGCCTATTTTTATCCAGGCGATAGAGAGAGCCATGGGTAGGCGGATCTGACGTCACGGCTGCGTGCGGTGGACGGTCCACTGTGGCCAGTGGGCCAGTCCCGACCGGCCACAGCGATCGCTGTGTGTGGTGACGGAAGGCTGACGTAGGGAGTAGGGACGCAGTCACACAGGGCCCGTGAACAGCCCTCTGATCTCGGATTCGTCGGATCCAATGCGACCAAATAGCAGCAGAAAAAATTGCATAGGTACTGATTTTGGAAGCTCAAACACCACAAAAAGCGACATTTGCCTCCTAAAACATCGACGAAAGCAAGCCCCACTGGGCAGATAATGTTAAATAATGTAAAAATATGAAAAATTTATCAATGAAATCTGCTCAGGACTTTATCTTGACATTTACCGATATATCTCCGAAAGTTCAGCGCAGTTCAGCGTTAAAAATATTTTAATGACGAATGCTGTTCTGCTGCAAATTTGTCCAGCAGCATGCTGCAGTTTCTCGGCTTTTCATTGGTGTAATCCACGTTGTCTATGCTAATTACCAATGAGATGCCGAGATATGCTAGCAGTTCAGCAGGCTGCTCATAAAATAAACAGATAATGAAGGCAGCAAAGCTAAGCAATCTTTTAAAACATGTATTATAAGCATATTTACGTCTGGACAACGAGTTGCGGGGAAAAGTGCCGATTGTGTTGCAGTTTTAGGAGCCGGTGATTAGGCTGGATTTTTGGGTTACTTTTTCGTTCCGATTCATGTATTTCATAGTGTTTGGCTTTTGAATATTTTAGTTCTTTCAGATAAATATTACTTGCCTTACAACTTTTGTAAAAACGTTTCATTTTTTTATAAGCCGACGTTCAGAGTCCTAAAAATACATCAGCACTACAATCAATGTAAACAAACAAATGGAGCACCACTTGGCTCTGTTCCAAGGCCATTTTTTAGTTTATCTGGTGGTTTTCTTGCTCTTGTACGTCGTTTTGTTGGATGTTTTGAATCCCTTAAGATTGACTTATATCATATTTAAGAAGCATGTTGACTGAAAACAATCTGAAGTATCCAGGAGGCTGACAGAGGTCCTGACTACTGAGCAATATCAATATCAAGTTGAACAAATTATGAAATTTTGGTTGATAAACGCAAGTTGATCGGGCTCATATATCAGCAAGAAAAAGTAAAATTAAAAGAGCTTAGGTATTGTCCAAAAACAAGCTATAATATTGCAGACCTTGGAGCAATACTGAAGAGCACGCTGAGCAGGATCGTGCCAGAAA